GAAAATAGGCAATGCTTATTCAGAAGAGAACACAGTGTCGTCAGAATGAAGATGCTATGCAGAGGGAGAGTTTCCCTTTTCAGAATCATCTTTTTTAGGAAAGGAAGAAAGGGAAGGCGAAGCTTCCGCCCTGCACCATCTCACTTGTGTTCATCCCAACACTTGCAGACTGCTAGGAGTTGGGAAGATCAGCGTTGTCCTGCCATCGCTTCGTTAGAGCCTTGAACGCCAGGCTGGATTGTAGAGCATCCCCCCCTTACTCCCTAGGCATTTTTCTTGAGGGATGGAGTTATCAGGGCTCTGGGGATGGAACCCAGGGCTTCATGCATGCCAAGCATGTACTCTACCTCTGAACTGCACCCCCAAGCTTTAAAACTCTTAGGAAAACAGTTGAAATAGAGTGAAAAATATTTTCTCAAGGAACTTCAGAATTCACCCATGAATTATTTTTGTAATGGTTTCACAAAATGAGTTAAAAATAATTACCAATATTTATGATGTTTTTAAATGGTTAACTAACGATATTAATATTAACAGCATTATAGTTTGATTACAGAGTACTACAGCAGGACTCAACAATAGAAATTCATCATTAGGAAACTTCTATGTGAGAAGTTGGGGAGAGTATCAGGAAAAAAACAATGTTAAAATTACATTTATAGGTACATTAAAGATCTGTGGTATAGTATTTCTGTTTCATTGACAGATGCAATTTTAAATGGTTTGCTTTATTTTAAAATGGCACTACAAAATGTATCAGAAATTACATTATTACAATCGTATAAGCTTTAATGAAATATTCTAGAAGTCAATTTATATGTGTGAGAAGGTATCATAGGGTTTTTTTTTTAATCTTCGAGGCGGTGAGAGCAGAATTTTTAGAAACAGTTGACATAAACAGTCCATTCCCTGCTCCTGTTCTTGACCTCCTCACTTTAACCTATCGTTTCCACCTTGACCCCCCTCTTTCATCGTGTTACTTAGACACGACAGCTGCCAGTTTCCAAGTCTGTGACCACATTTGTACTCGTCTTGCTCCCCTTCAGACCTCCGGTTCTTCCAGAAGATGATTGACTCAATTGTTTCACTCAAAACAAGAGCAAAGTTCATCAGAGCTCTCTACTGCCGCTTCGTGTGTGTGTGTGTGTGTGTGTGTGTGTGTGTGTGTGTGTGCTTGTGGAAGCTCTGAAGTTGTTGTGTCTTCTATTTCTCTCCACTTTGTTTATGAGGCAGGGTCTCTCACTGAACCTGGAGCTTGCCAATCCTGGCTGATCTAACTAGGCAGCTTGCCCCAGGGGCCCTTGTGTCTACCTCCAGAGTGTTGGGATTGTAGAGAGGGCCTGCACACCTACCTGGTTTTTATGTGGGGCAGGGAGTCCATGTTCTGCTCCCCATGCTTGCACGGCAAGTGATCTCCCCACTGTGCCACCTCCCCAGGCCCTCCGGCTGCTGCGCCCTCTGGTGCTAACTACCTCTCATCCCCTGGACTGGTGGCTGCTCTCAGATCCAGACTCTCGGTTTGTACAGAGGAACTTCATTCCTAAAATGGTTCCCTCCCTCAATTATCTAGGGTTCTCCTTCTGGGTTTTTCCTTTCTACTGTTACGTTTCTAATCTTAAAAACTACAAAGAACAGGGCTGAGCCGGGCGGTGGTGGCACACGCCTTTAATCCCAGCACTCGGGAGGCAGAGGCAGGCAGATCTCTGTGAGTTCAAGGCCAGCCTGGGCTACCCAGGAAAGGCGCAAAGCTACACAGAGAAACCCTGTCTCGAAAAACCAACCAACCAACCAAACAAACAAAAGAACGGGGCTGGAGAAATGGCTCAGTGCTTAAGAGCACTGAATACTCTTCCAGAACCCACATAGCAGCTCATAACTGTAACTCCAGTTCCCTGGAGAAACACCAGTGCACATAAAGAAATAAAATTAATTAAAAAAAAAAACTAGAAAGAACAATCAAGATAATAGTCCCACATCCCATGCTAACTGTGCTGTGTGTGTGTTGTGTGTTATGCCATAACTTTATGGTTGTTTTTGTTTTTAGTCCGAGGAGCGGAAGAGATGGCTTACAAAGTTAAGAATAGCACTTGATGCTCTTCCAGACGCCCTGGGTTCCATTCCCAGCACCCACTGGCTGCTCACAGCTGTTTGTAATTCCAATTCTAATGCTTACACTCACACAGACTTACGCAAATACACATAAACAAAAATAATTCTTTTTAAATTCTGTTTTTCTGTCTTCACTGTCCTTGCTGGAGTGGCTCTGTCTGGTATACTAAATGACACTGCTTTCACATGATCAAATTTGACTTCTCCGTCACGATCTTTTCCTGCTAACACCTGACACAGGTCACCCATCTACACATGCGTTCTCAGCCTCCAGAGTTTAAAATACTCTCGTTCTTCCAATTGCACGTGGTTCTATCTCATTCTGTCCTAAGTACTGCGGTGTTCTAGGCTAGGCCTTCAGGACTGTCTACGATCCTGGGAAAGCTCATGCTCTCTGGTGGCTCCACTCAGAATCTGATGACCCCCAGAGGCTGCCAGCATCCCAGCTGCCACATCTAGGCTCACACATTCAACAGTCCCCAGCGCTTCTTTCTCATGGCAAGTGGACATCTCACACTTACCACAGGATGTTCATACCTGTCTCAGATGGCTGTACTTCTCTGTCTGAGATTTATTTATTTATTATGTATACAGTGTTCTGCCTGCATGTATGTCTGCAGGCCTGAAGAGGGCACCAGATCTCATTACAGATGGTTGTGAGCCACCATGTGGTTGTTGGGAACTGAACTCGGGACCTTTGGAAGAACAGCTGGTGCTCCTAACCTCTGAGCCATCTCTCCAGCCCCGCTTCTCTGTCTTCTTGTCTGTGGAGAATGACAGTTCCACCTTGAGTTTCTCAGGCTAAGATCTGTGAAGTCAGCTGGCACTCCCTTTTCCTCTTAGACCCTCCGACTATTTCTTCCACACGTTCTGTCAGCCCATCAAAATATATCCATCAGCCCGCCTTCCTGCCCCTCCCCTCATCTAGGCCACCCCAGTCACCTCTGTCAGGACTTCCACAGTAGCCCCCCCAGTCCACCTCCCTGCTTCCACTTAGTCCTGTCTCATTATTGCCTCCAGGTTGGTTAAACAGGTTGGGCTGAATGAGTCTTTCCTCTTCATAAATTCCTGCAGTGGCTTCTTATGTAAACTCCACAGGTCTCGTGATGGTCTAAACAGCCCCCTCTTCGTCAGGCTTCAAGCCCCGACTTCTAGCCCTCTCCTTTGGCCCACTCTGTTCCAGCCTCGTAGGCCACCCATGCGCCTCCAGGACTCTCAGCCACAGGTCTGTACACATCTCCCTCTTCTTGAACACCTGTCTCCCATTTCCAGTTCGCTTGCTTCTCCCTTCTCCAAAGGCTGGCCACTCCCTGAACACTCCTGCCCAAAATGCCCCGTGTTCCTCTCCCCTTAGCCAGCCTCCTCTATGACTGGAGAAAGATCCCAACTCTGTACTCTCACCAGAGGATGGCTATCTGGACTTGACCTCCTCAGAAAATTTAATATTTTTCATCCAGCCAAAATGATGAGCCTAAAGTTTAAGTTTGTGAGAGTGTATAAAGACATAAATAGAAAAAACTCGAATGAAAGGAAATTTTCCAAGGACATATTATTTACTTTACCTTCTCTCCTCCTCTTCCTCCTTCCTTCCTTCCTTCCTTCCTTCCTTCCTTCCTTCCTTCCTTCCTTCCTTCCTTTCTTTCTGGTAAGTTTCTTATTTGAATGTTTCCTCCCACTAAAGTGTAAGCTCCTTGAGAGCAGGAACTGTGTCCCCCCCCCCCCAAGAGCTGTATTTTCAGTGACACAAGTCAGTTCTTAATAAATATCTTTTTGAATAAGTGTTACGATACATTTATTAATCGAGTCCAGTGTCTGTGGTTCCTTAGAACAAAGAAGCTAACAGGCACACGTTCTTGTATATAACATTCAGTAGAACTGAATGATTCAGTCACTCATCAGGGCATCATGGGAGCAATTAGCTGTGGTGCGTGGCTTAATTTTGTTTCCTGTTGCTGTGATAAAATACCCTGATGAAAGCAACTTAAAGAAGAAAGAGGGCCGGGCAGTGGTGCATGCCTTTAGTCCCAGTACTTGGGAGGCAGAGCCAGGCAGATCTCTGTGAGTTCAAGGTCAGCCTGATCTACAGAGCGAGATCCAGGAGAGGCACCAAAACTACATACACAGAGAAACCCTGTCAAAAAAAAAAAAAAAAAAAAAAAAAAAAAAAAAACGAAGAAGAAGAAAATATTGACTTGGCTCCCAGTTCCAGGTCAAAGCTCATCCTTGTGGGGAAGTCAAGGCAGCAGAAACTTGAAGTAGAAGTTACATGACAACCACAGTCCAGGCAGAGAACAAGGAATTAATGCTTGCTTGCTTGCCAGGATCCGGCTAGTTTTCTCCTCCATGTGATTCAGGATCCCCTGTCCAGGGAATGGTGCTGTCTACATTCAAGGATGCTCTCCTAATCTCAGCCAATCAAGATCCCACACTGGCATAACCACAGGCCAAATGAATCCAGATAGTTCATCAGTGAGACTCTGGGGTGATATATTTGTCGTATTGTAAAAAACGGTGAGGCGGTGAGAAGGAATCACCGTACAACAGGGCCCACGTAGGAGTTTTATTGAGGGGAGGGCAGAGAAGGGGTAGAGACCAGTTCCAGGGGTGAGAAAGAGAAAGAAAGGAGATGGGAAGTGCGGAAGACCCGCCTTTTATAAGGAAAGGTAGCGAATGCGCACAGGGGGTGCTCTGAGTGGCTGCAGCTGAGGTTATATCCTGTCAGGACCCTAAGGGCGGGCCAGGACAGATGCCTAGATGCTAACAATATTGTTTGCAATCTAGGAAATAAAGCTTGCCTGAAGATCAGAGGACAGAGCCAGCCACAGAGTTAGCCATAGAGGTCAGGCAGTGGAGGCACACACCTTTAATCCCAGCACTAGGAAGGTTGAGACAGGAAGTGATATGGCTGGGCAGGGAAAGGGATGTAAGGCGGGAGGAGACAGGAACTCTCTCTCACTCAGGCTGAGGAGTTGGTGAGGTAAGAGGTGGTGGCGGTGGCTTGCTCTGCTTCTCTGACCTTTCGGCTTTCACCCTGATGTCTAGCTCCGGGTTTTTATCACAAGACCATGTAGGATTTGTAGAAGAAGACTCCCTTCCAGATGATTTTAGACTGTCTCGGGTTGGCAAAAGCAACTCCACCGCTCTTTTTTTTCCATGAGATTCTTTCATGCTTTTCTCCCCCGGCGTGATGGCTTTCATATGGCTTTTTTTGTGCACACGTTTGTGTCTCCTCTTCTTTCTCCCCCTCCTCCATCCTCCCCTCTTTCCCCTTCCTCCCTCGCCAGCCCCACTTCCGCTTCCGGGTCACGTGCCCTCTAGTACACTCTTCCATCCACCCTCTCCTAAGATTTCTTTCCCTCTCCTCATGGTCCCACTTGTGATTCATGGCCTATGACCTCCTACACACATATACATATCTATTAATTAGACTCTGGGGTCTGCATATGAGAGAAAACATCGATCTGTCTTTCTGAGTCTGAAATGTTGGTTTTATGCAGCAGTGCAATATTATTCATTAAGCGGCGCTGTTACCATGCAAGAAAAGCCATGAGGCACAACAAAACCCACTCTGAGAGTTTATTAGAAGGGGGGAGAGGAGAGGGCGTGCTCAGGCCTGTTTGAAAGACATTTGCAGAGAGAGAGGAAGAAGGAGAAGGGGGAAGAAAAAGCAGGGGGGAGGGGTCTGTGACCTGCACATGCGCATATGGGCTACTCCACGCATGCACACGGATTCCATGCTCATGCTGTGCACGGATTACGTAGGACAGGACGTAAGGCTCTGGGATGACTAACCGTTTTTGCCAGCGCATGTGCGGTCATGTAGCTGGGGGAGTGGCCAAGGGCCACGAATTCCAACATGAAATATTTCACTCAGCCTAACAATTTACAGTTCTATTCCTTTTCCTGCAAATGTGACTGCATTCTTTTTTTCCTGGCTAAATAAAATTCCACTGTGCACATGCACCGCATTCTTACCTATTCATCTGTTGATGGACACCGAGCCTACTCCATGTGATAGTCCTTCTTTAAAGGGAGGGATGGCGCAATGGTTAAGAGCACTTGCTCTTGCAGAAGACTCAGACTCAGTTCCCAGTGCCCACATGGCCCTCACAACTGCTCCCTATCTCAGATTCCAGAGAACCCAATGCCTTCTTCTGGCCTCCCCTGGCACCAGACCTGCATGTGGTACACACTTCACACACATACAGGCAAAACACTCATGTACATGAAATAAAAAAAATACTAAGTTTCAAAAAGGTGATTCATTAATTTCAAATGGAGAAAACACTCCAAACATTTGTGGTTCCAAAGCCAAGAGCGGTGTTGCTAAGTAGAGGAAATGAGAAGGTAATTTTAACCTTATTTTTAAAGAAACAGTATGTAACTATCCCATCATGGATGTATTAGATGAAGAATAAACCATGACAAATACTAACTGCCTACTGGGCAGCTTGGTTGAAGTAAAGGAAAATGGGACTGTCTGAAGTTTTACATGAACCCTTACCCTTGCCCTAATTATATATATATTCTGTGATAGGTCTTGTATCCAGGGGTTATCACATCCCATATGACAAGATGAAGGGTCAACTTGCTACCCTTCCTGTGTTAAATCGTAGACGATCATCTGTCCCTTTAACACAGAGGGCTTCTCCAGGGTTGTCTCCATCACTGGATGGATGTTCTCTCTTTCAGAGTGTTCTTCTCCGTCCAAAGAAGCAGATGAGCCAAGTTCTCAGGTAGGTTCAAAACTACTACATCCCCCCAAGATAAGGACCGGCCACAGTCTTGTGTGATTCTGGGAAAGGGGGGATGTAGAAATAACTGAGTGCTGGTAGCCGGGTACCCATGCCAAAGAGAGCTGAAGTTTCTTCATAGCATTCTTCACTGGTAACTTTCAGTAGCCTCCAGTGGTCTTCCTCGGCACATGCCTTTAAGGAGCCATTATTGGTTGGTTAGCATTGACACTGAACATAAAATCACCTGTTGTTGTTGTTGTTGTTGTTCTAATGGAGCTTTAGAGGTTCTTGGGTTTTGTGGCCAATGGTAAAATATTTGCCTAACATGCACGAGGCTTGAGTTGAATCCCCAGTACCACTAAATAAAAAAAAAATACATCAAATTTAAAATACATTACAGATCCTTTACCGGAGGCGGGAAGATGGCTCTGAAGTAAAATGTTTTCCACACAGCCTGAGGACCTGAATTTGCTCCCCAGGACCCATGAGAAGAACTAGATGTGGAGACAGAAGTTTGTGGTCCCAGGGCTGGAAGACAGACAAACAGATCCTTGGAATTTGCTGGCCGGCCAGCCTAGCCTACTTGGTAAGGTCTAGGCCAGTGAGACGCTCTGGCTCAAAAAACCAAGGTGGGGGCCGGGTGGTTGCCTTTAATCCCAACACTCAGGAGGCAGAGGAGGGCAGATCTCTGAGTTCAAGGCCAGCCTGGCCTACAGAGCAAGTTCCAGGGCAGCCAGGGCTACGCAGAGAAAGACTGTCTCAAAAAACCAAACCAAACCAACAAACAAATAAACAAAACACCAAGGTAGATTGTTCCTGAGGAGCCCCACTTAAGGCTGACCTCTGGCCTCTATGCACAGCCTCGCCCACATGTAAGGCCTCCAGCACAAGCACACACAAGATTAAATGTGTTCTTTACTGGCAGTGATTCTGCTTTCTGATTGTGATTCTGTGGAGATAAATCTGCCAAATGTAGCACAAGTCACTGTTGGTCACTCAGCACAGGCTGGCTGAGACAGGATCTGCAAGGAGAAATATTTCTTCTTGCCTTTTTTGCTTATTGGGTTCAAATGCTGGGTCTCTCCCCCACCCCTCTCTGTAAGTAGTAAAGTCCTTGACTTTTGGGGGGTGGTTTTGAGTTGAGAAGGTAGACATAAGCACTTGTGGATTAGATCTCATAATAAATGTGCGACATTGATTCACGATCAACGAACTGCATCAGGCAAGAAGTACAAGGCAGCTGGGCGGTGGTGGCGCACGCCTTTAATCCCAGCACTCGGGAAGCAGAGGGAGGTGGATCTCTGTGAGTTCGAGGCCAGCCTGCTCTACAGAGTGAGATCCAGGACAGGCACTAAATCTACATGGAGAAACCCTGTCTCGAGGAGGAAAAAAAAGAAGCACAAGGCTTCCCTGTGCCCTGTTTGCTCTCATCAGGAGCTGGTGTCAGAGGACCACGCGTGGTGGCTGTGTGGCATGCTTAATAAGCTCTAAAATGCTTTCTCGTTCTCGGCTTTTGGGAGGCCACACAGTGTCAGCATTTCTGGAAACCACTGATTTTACTTTGTTGACACTACCCCCTCTCCGCTTCTCTGGGCCCTTATTTGCTTTAGTCAGCTTCTCGCCCTGGCTTCTTATCTGGAAGTGTCACCTGATGTCAGTTCAGCCTGTCCTTCTGTCGCTTGCTCCACACTCTTCTGAAACCGTACTATTTAAATCGGCAGCCATCTGCTTGGAAATCTATACAAATCTGTTGCTGGACAGCCGTACTTTCTCAGACTAGCTTCACTAGCTGGTTCCAGTAACAGCTCATACCAGCATCCATTCTGGCACATCAGTTCCCTCCCAATATCCATGCCAGGAACCCTACATAGTTTTTGTTTCGTTTCATTTTGGTTTTGCCAGCAAGGAATGTACATTGCTACCTACCAACCTCCACACAGCAGCAGTCTATCCCGTGAACTGCCTGGGACCAGTAGGTAATGTGTCCAATCCAAGTCTCAAGATTACTTGACTACAGCCATACATTCCATCTACTTAATAATATTAAAGCTGGGGTCTTAATCGGCATCTGCCTATCTCTCACTTTTTACTTCTCTGTTAGTTCAAGACTGGGTGGAAAAGCAAAGATGTTATTTATTCAACCGTGCTAAAGCTCCCAGACTTAGTTAATAATTAGTCTTCAACAAATAGCTATGGAGCAACTAAAAAGTTTTCCGTTGTGCAAATTCTCCTCCTGTCTCCTCCTTTGGCTTTGTCTGAGTCAGGGCCCATTTGTGTTATGGTCTCAGAAGTCAGGGGACAAAGAAGGAGAGCTGTGTGTGGGGAGATGGCTCAGCAGCTGACGACCTGAGTTTGATCCCGGGGATCGACATGACGAAGGAGAGGACCAGCTACAAGCTGCCTTCTGACTTCCACATGCACATGCATGCGCACACACATATATGACACACAAACACTTCATCAGTATTGTCTTTTTTTTTGAGCCAGGGAGCAAGGCACAGCCTGGAATAGCCTCTGGGCGTGAGAAGCAGCCATTTGACCTGCTCTCCTGGCTTCTCACACACACCCTGTCGCAGCTGTCAGGATCTATAGCAAAGGGAAGGGCAGGGCAGGATCTGTGTCAAGGAGCACACTGTTCTTGTCCCCATTGTAGTTTATGTCAACCAGCACAAAATCACGCCAGGATAATTTCGTCCGTTCATGTAACACTTTTTTTGTGTTCTTTTGGTTGTTTTTGGTTTTTGAGATGGGATTTCTCTAAGAGCCTTGGCTATCCTGGAACTCACTTTGTAGACCAGGCTGGCCTCAAACTCACAGAGATCCACCTGCCTCTGCCTGCCCCTGTGCCCAAATGTTGGGATTAAAGGCATATACCACCACTCCAGACTTATCATGCAATACTTTCAAAATCTTTGTTTTGTTGTGGATAAAGCATTTCTGGTCCTTTCTCGTCTTTTTTGTTTGTTTCTTTGTTTTGTTTTTTTGTTTTTGTTTTTTGAGACAGGGTTTCTCTTTGCACCTCTCCTGGAACTTACTCTGTAGCCCAGGCTGGCCTTGAACTCACAGAGATCCGCCTGGCTCTGCCTCCCAAGTGCTGGGATTAAAGGCGTGCGCCACTACTGCCTGGCTTCCTTTCTCATCTTTTAAGAAGCCAGTAAATGCAGGCAGTGGTGGTGCAAGCCTTTAATCCCAGCACTTGGGAGGCAGAGCCAGGTGGATCTCTGTGAGTTTGAGGCCACCCTGGGCTACAGAGTGAGTTCTAGGAAAGGGGCAAAGCTACACAGAGAAACCCTGTCTTGAAAAACCGGGGGAAAAAAAAAAGCCAGTAAGCACCCAAGGAGTTTGAGGCCCTGAAACCATCACATTTTCTATATCAATCAATTCTCTGGTTGCATTTTTCTTTCATTTTACTATCTCAGGGTTTCCAAGAGACTGAAACCATGCAAGGGGTTAAGATAAGGCAGAGGAAAATGACTGAGAATGGGCCATGAAGCCCAGCTGGTATTTCCATACAAGTTTGGAATTTGCAGAATCAGCCACGGGTGTTGATAAAGTAAGCAAGACTCCAACACCGTGATCTCAAAAGTGCTAGCTACTGTTCCAGTACACATCTGACCTCCAGTCTAAGGAATGGCCTGATAAAGGTCTGTCTTCTGTGACAGTGACTGGTCCTCAACCCTGAGCAGTGCCGAGATTCCTATCATTCTCAACATTATTTACTTCCTTGCAGTGATCAACCCACTGACTGCATTCAAAGACAGTGCTGGTGTGGGGAGTCTCAGTTTCCAAGGGATTTAAGGTGGAGTTTTGAGGCCACCATGTCGTCTTTGCTGAAGTTTTGACAGGGAGATCCATTGCTCAGAGATCATGAAACACACCAGTTTGGAAGGGTAGGCCATGTTTATCCACCTGAAGGGATAGGCTTTCCAGAGTATCATCTTAGTCATTACTGACTCAATTCTGAGGAGATGGGAAAGGCCAGTGGAGTGATCAGGCACTCCACATCAAGCAAAGCAATCATTACTAATGATGAGCCAGGGCTGCCTCATGGGCCAAAGTCATTTGCTGCCAAGCCTGACACCCCAAGTTCAATCCCTAAAATCTACACAGTGGCAGGAAAGAGCCGACTCCTGAAAGTTGTCCTCTAGTCTCCACACACGTGTGACACCCCTCTTCCCGAGTGAAATGTTTAAAAACAATAAGCTACTTTAGCAATACATCCTCTATATCATGATGTGATCTAAACACCCACCATTCCCAGTGAATGTTTCTGACAGTCAAATTGAAACTCTTCAGACCTAGAAAGGCCGGGATGAGTTAAATTGCAATGTAAAAGAACAACCAGGGCCGGGCGGTGGTGGCGCATGCCTTTAATTCTAACACTGGGAGGCAGAGGCAGGCGGATCTCTGTGAGTTGGAGGCCAGCCTGG